CCCTTCCCCTCACCCCTCCCCCCGCCTCAAACACACACCACGCCCCCCTCCAGCAAGGCGTACCGCCTGGGCAAATTCCTGCAGGATGTGAACGGCCTGCGGCGCAGCGGGCTGTGGCGCGCGAGCAGCGGGCGCGACTACATCCTCGGGCTCCTGGAGGTCACCACGTTTGCGGGCGAGGGGGTGTATTACTTCCTGGATCAGTTCATGTGGTGGGCGCCGTCTCGTACTCCGTGCGGCCTGCATGGCGGTCCCTAGCCTTTCAAGGCCGCCAGGCGTGCTCCAGCCGACCAGCATGCACACCCCTAGGAAAGGACAAGAAGTTATACCTTAGCCATGCCCCTTGGCACCCCTCAGCACACCTGTCATGCGGGGCAGCCGGCCCGCCGCAGGCCCCAGGACTGCCCCGCACTCCCGCCGCTTCCCCCTCCCGGCAACACGACCGCGACCTGGCTTTGCGGATGACCTCCAGATCTGTCAACCCTCGCGGCAGGCTGATGAAGGCGGGCGTGATCTCCAGATCTATGGAGAAGCGGCTGTCCAAGGTCTCCGCCTACGCAGAGGCGGCCGGCTACGCGGCCAACATCGCCGTCAATTTGCACCGCATCAGGGTTATGCAGCTGCAGGAGCTGCTGCTGCGGGCGCGATTGCTCAAAGCGGCAAAGGTGCGCCGCGCCGCGCCTGCTGCGCGGCGTGCACAGCAGGGCGGTGCCTCGTTCTGAGGAGCATGGGGGGCCGGGGGAGCCGCAGCACGTGCAGCTGGGACGCAACAGTGGTTAAGGCTGAGTGTACGGGCACCGGAGTGCGGACGACCGTGCCAGCACCTGCCAGCCTCTGCCAAATTGATCCCCGTCTTGGCCCGGATCCAATGTCCCTGGGAATCTGAGCGCCTGTTACACTCTCGCCGTCCCGCCCACCGCCTCGCAGGACGGCGAGGCAGATCCCGAGATCGTCAAGCAGATCTCAGACCTGCGGACTGCACGCGTGCTGAGGGCGGCCTTCGTAGTCCAGGACATGGCGGACGGACTGCTGGCGCTCGCTGACATCACCGATCACAGGTGTGCGTGGGCACGCTGCTGATGCTCTTGCTTGCAAGCACGCACACGTTAAACCCCCTGAGGAACACACACAGCACGCTGAGATAGACATATACAGCGACACCCCCCTTATCTTGCTCTCACAGGTACCAGCAAGTGAGCCACCCGGTGGTGCTGGCCCTGGCCGGGCTGGTCTCGGCAGCCGTGAGCACATACAAGAATTGGGGCAGCTGAGGAGCCCCGCAAGCGCGAGAGCGGACGAAGGTTGTGAAGAGGGCTGCGGTGCCTCAAGGGTGCCAGCACCATTCACACGAGGGATCAGAGGCGCAAGTCTTGGGCCGGGGGTCGGTGGGTGGGCAAACGCCGGAGGGTCCCACCAATGGCAGCTGGTCAAAGGGGCGCGCACGCTGCGCGCTCCTCGCGGGCCGGCGCATGCGTGAGGCCGGCTAGCTAGTTGCACGGATGTGAGCGCTGGCTTTCGCTGCTGGGTTGCCGGCAGGTGCTCCACGTTCCCCCTGTGGTCGTGCTACACATCGCCCAGACGACGCGGTGTGCGACATTGTCCTGCATGTGTGCTGCTGCAGCCCCCGCTCAACCTGTACATGTGCTTAGTAAGCTGCTGCAGCTCAGTTTTGTTGCTGCAACGCCCTTGTAAATACAGGGTTTGTTTGTGTTGATCCAAGTCAATAAACTGGATGCTTTACTTGGTTTCAGGCATGCCGGGGCCGCCGGTGGGCAAGCACTCGGCATTCGATAATGTGTGTCACCCATGTGAACAATCCGAGTGGCTTAGTCGTGGTCCAGATTAACGAGCAACACTAGAGCAGCCATAGCGCCAACCACAAATGCGCCAGCTGGCCGCTGCACAAAAGCAGCCAGAACAGGCCCCTGCCCGTTTGGCATGTCATATGGTCAGTGGGAGCCCTCCTCTTTCTTGAGCCCCAGCGCTGACGAGATTGTCTCCCTGCACGTGGTTGTGGGTGCGCGCATACAACCCATCAACGCCAGTTAGGAATGTTGGGCGCGGGAGTGAAGTCATGGCCTTGCCAACAGGCCGCGCCGGGGTGCTTGGCTGTCAGTTGCCTGCCGGAGATGCAGGCGTGCAGCAGGGACGCCGTGCCTCCAGGCACTGCCGGCCGCAGCCAGTTGCGACACGGCGTGGCACCATACGGACGCACCATGTCACGCTGTGGCCGTGCCTCCGCCTCCACACGCCCTGCAGGCCCCGCCCCCGCCTGCCAGTCCCGCCTGCATCCTCCGTTGCTGCACTGCTGCCTTTCCGGCGCTTGCTTGCTTCCCTGCCCCGGCGCCCACGCCGCGACCGAGCCACAATTCTGTGCTGGGAGGTGCCCCGAGGCGTGTCCCGCCCCGAGGCTTGTCCCGTGCGCGCCCTGCATGCCCGACACAATCCCACACGGCGCTCACCAGGGCTGGGTCGCGTAGATGGCCACTGCGCCCACGACGCCCCCCCACGCGGCATACCCGAGCACCTGCTGCCGAGTCGGCCACATGGCCCTCGGGTAAGCCTGAGCGCATGCAGTCGCGCGAGGATGTTGTGTGCTGGTTGGCGATGGCGGCGCTTGCACGACAGTATAATGATGTGGGGCCCTTTGCCACTGTGGACACAGCTGAGGGTTTCCAAACGGCAGAGAAGAGCGCAGCTGGGAATCAACCTCCTGGCTCATGGCCTGATCTTGCTAGGCCAGCCGCAGCGACGCGTTGCCTGTTAGAGCGCAAGCGTGCGCGCGATGCTGCTCGTGCTGTTGCTGCTGCTGCCGCTGCTGCTGCCACGCCAACCCTGCTGCGCAACAGCACCCCCCATAAGTGTGTGCTGACCTTGGTTATCGATGAAAGCAGCCCCATGGCGATGAGACGCCTCTGCTCAAGCCGACACTCGTTGAGGCAGATCTCCAAGCCCTCCTCGCTCCGCTAACCTCCGGTGCTCGCTACACAACTCCTGACAAGATTCAGCTGTGTGATTTCCTGTGACCTATGAAACAATCTGCACTCCCTGAGCTCGTCTATGCACTGAGAGGAGAACCCGAGATGCGCCGCTTCCACACTCCTCGGAACTTATCATACAGCAAAGGCCCGTTTGACATACCACCAAGGCTATCCCAGAACCTGGCCGCAGCTTCTCCAGCGACTTCCGGGCCCGCAGGTTGGACAATGCGGAACCGCCGTCTGCAACTGCCGCTGTCGCCGTCCGCGTGGGTCGCAGACCGGCAGTCGGAATTGCAAGGTAGTGGCCCACTTGAGACAACCAGCTTACAGGAGTATCGCACCGCTTGTGTAGGCTTTGCTTGCTGCTCTAAATTAATCCGCCTGGCAACGCTGATCACGACTCCTCCAAGGGAGGCGCCGTCTGGCAGGTGCTCGAGTCCGGGTCACAATCAGGATACACCTGCAAGGCATTAGCAGCAGGGCAAGAGCAATCAATGAAACACCCATTTCCAGACCCGGCGAGCGGCCCGGCCAGGCTGCTCAGCTGAGAATAACGTGCGTTTGGACCGGCTGGGAAGCTCGCGCCGATGCTCGTGTTCGAGGCGCTCACCTGCAGCAGGTCGCTCCACCCGATGTCGTTCATGCAGACGCAGCGGAAGCTTGCCGCGCCGCCGTCCATCCCGTCGAACAGCTTTCGCGGGTACATGCCTGTTTCACACCACACCTTGCCTCCTAGGGGTGTGGGCGCGTTCGAGTTGCAGCTGGTTGCATGCAAGTGCGTGTGTCCATGCATACATTGTGTGCAGGAGTATGTGTAACGTGCGCGTATGACACACAAGCATGTCCCAGAAAATTCCGTGTGTAAGGGGGTTGGGCATGCATGCGCACCACAGCAAACCTGTTTGCATGTGCGAGCACGGTTTCGCTAGTAGATACTGCAACTACGTGCGACGTGCTCTCATCCACCATGGTCCCCCACCACCCAACCCAGCACCCACCCTCGGCAGTAGTGTACTTCATGCCGCATGACGTGTACTTCGCCACCTCCTTTGCCTTCTCTTCCTTGAGCCGCGCCCCCTCGGCCGCGCGCGCCTCCACCTGCCGGAGCGTATCTGTGGGCTCGCCGGCCGCTGTGTAGTACAGCCCCTCCGCTCGCCCCTTGTGGGGGTAGGTCTGGGCGCAAAGGTCGAAGAGGGCAGGGCGGCGGGGATTGGGCCGGGGCCCGCGAATGACAAACAGTGGTGTGGTGTGCACAGGCCGTGGTCGTGTGCGGGCAGGGCCACGAGCGGCGGCCCCCAGTCGCAATGAAAACCTCCCAGAAAAGGCAACCGCTTGTTGTTTGCAGCTGGCCTCGTGTGCTGGTGCAAAGGGTTGACTACAGCGCAGCGCCCAGTGCAGATCGGATTCTAAGTTTCTAGAGCTCACCCTGAAGTAGAAGTCCCTCCAGCCCACAATCCCATGGACATCCTCCGGGCTCAGATCCAGCACCTCCGCACGGGGCGGCCCCTCAAATTCGCCTAGACAAAAGGAGGGGTTAAGGGTGCACGAGCTGTGACAAAGCGCCGCGGCCCTCTCCAGCAAAACAAGCCGCAAGGCGAAACAGGTGCATGCACCACAGTTGCAGCGGCGCATCAACCGCACCCTGCCGGCCACCGCGGTGCCTACCCGTTACAAACGCGCGGCTGCCGTCGGTGCCAACGAAGTGGTGGTATCCGCTCCCCTTGCCGTAGAACTCGGGCTTGGAGCTTACGTCGAAAACGTCGCCCAGGATGGAAAGATATACCGGCCGCCCGTCGGAGCCGTCCGCCTGGGCAAGCTGCGCCTTGGAAAGCACGCTTGGCGCCTTGGGTGCCCCAGAGGGGATAGGGGTGGGGGTGTTCAGGGCAGGGGAGCGGGCGGGCACGTCAGATGGCGAAATGAGGACTCGAGCGGGGGTTTGGCAGGTGCTTGTGAGAAGGATGCGTCGCGCTGGCTTGCATGGTCACGGACGGCTGCCTGCGGTGCATCATTCAAGCAGCCCCAGCGGGGGTTTCAGCCCGTGTGCCGAGAGCCGAAAGCCAACCAAGTCGTGTGCTCGCAGGCGCGCTGCCGCCACAGGCCTGCAAATCCAGTCAGCCAAAGCTGTTCAACAGGCACCGACCAGGTCACTCTGCTTCGAATCTCTTGACGCACCTGGGCTTTCCGGCTGTCAGATTGCTGCAACCGCTGCTGCTGCTCCTGCTGCTGATTGGCCGCTTCGACCGCCGCCCCTCGCGTCTTGACCAGTGTCACCACCCGCACGCCCAGCCTCAGCGCCAGCAGCGCCACACCCAGCACCGCGAGGAGCGGCAGGCCGCGGATGCCCCCGCGCCGCGGTGGGGCGAGCGGCACAGCGCGCGGCACGGCGCCACGCTGGGGCCCACCTGCTGCCGGGGCAGGGGCACGTGAAGAGTTGATGACGTGGCTAAGAGTCAATTGGGGTGCTTGGACAGCTTGCACACCCGCGGTGCATGCTGCACTCGGCGCCTGGGCGCCGGCTCTGCCTCTTGAAGGTGCGCTGCACACCGTGCTGGTATCACTCGACTCACCCAGGGGCTCAGGTGGCCTGCGCTGCCGTGATTCCTGCATAACGGTGTATCAGATAGGATATTGCAGCTTGTCAAGCAATCAGGGGTTTCAGAGCAGTTCGCGATCTAGTGTGACCGCACGATCTGAGCTGCAACAGAAATTCGAGGCTGAAAAGAAATTCAAGGAGTTGACAGTGATGCAGGTTCGTTTCGGGCTGCCTGAAGTCGCGCGACATGCTGTTTTGTGCGGTGATTTTGCCTGCCGACGCTGACATGTGCGCCTCGCCCCGCTGCCCCCACTGCGCTCCCAACCCAACGCCGGCAGCGCGACCAGGAGCCCATCACGGTGGCGATGCGCCGCGCCACGCGGCGCCACCACCACATCGCCAACGCGTTGATCCTCGCCAAGCTGGCCGTGGCGCTCACAGACAGGCAGCTGTACGCCAAGGCGCGCACCCCGACCCTGCACCGCTCCCCGGAACCCGTGGCAGCGGGGCCCCTTACAAGGCGTACCATGCGTCCCGCGCCCGCCGCAAGCACAGGGACGTGCGTTCCCCAGCGGTGCGCTCCAATGCCCCGGCATCCTCGGCAAACACACCCTGGTGCCGCAGCCCAAACCCCCAGGCGACACCCCCGCCCCTGCCTCAAACCCCCAGGCCCTGGGCCAGTTCCTGCCCGTGTACACGGAGCTGGAGGCGTCCCTCAAACGCCACAGCAAATCCCCGACCCTGGCCGGCGTCGCCGCACTCGCGCTTTCCTGGAGCTCGCGCGTCGAGGCGATGCAGAGAGACCTGGAGGTGGGCAGCAGATGGCCCGTTACCGCCGCCGCTGCCGCCGCCGCCGCCGCCGCCGCCGCTGCTGCTGCTGTTGAGAATTTGGGTGACTGCCAATGACTGCCCCGCTTTTGACGGGCCGTGGCCGCCTGCCCCCCTCGACGTGCCGCGCCGCGCCGCACACCATTCCTCCCTCTGCAATCCCCTCGTCAGTTCTGGCTCGGCCCAGACTGGGCGGCCGCGCTGCCGCCCTCAGTGAGCGCAGAGGCGTATGCGGCACACCTGCGCGCCCTGGGGGAGCAGGACCCGTCCCTCCTGCTGCCTTACGCCTGGTCGCTGCACGTGCCCGTGCTGCTCGGCTTCATGGGGCGCCGCGTCGCCGGCGGGCTGGGCCTAGAGGCGGCCGCCGACCAGGGGCTGGCGTTCTTTAATGTGAGGGGGTGCGGATTACGCGCGGCCAAGCGTGCAATAAGGAGCGCGGGCTGAACGCAGCGCAGGACAAGCGAAGAGGGAGTCCCCTGGACCGCCTCTTCATCGAGATGGGCATATCACCAAAGCCGTGGGTAGCGGCAGCACTCTGCTTGCCTTGCCCACGCAGCCGCCCGGCGTCCCCCTGCGCCCACACACCCTGCCCCTCATCATCCTATCAAGATGCAGGTCCCTGACAAGGCCGCGCGCCTGGAGCAGCTGCGGGCTGCAGTCAACGAGGCCGGCAGCAAGCTCTCGCCAGACGCGCAGCGCGCGTGTGTGGAGCAAGCGGTCGAGCAGTTCCACAGGAACAACGCAGTTGTGTCAGAGTTCGAGCTCCCCTTGTCGCGCACGCTGGCCGCCCTTGGCCGCGCCGCAGCGTCGCTGCGCGCGCCGCTGCTTGCGCTGCTGCTGGCGGCCGTGGCGGCGTGGGTTGCGCTGCGGTGGCAGCCGAGGGCGGGGTCTGCCGCGGCTGCTTGACAAGAAGTGTCTGCACTACGCCGTTGGATTTGATCGATGCATCGTGTATGCGCCCGCAGGCATCCCCCAGGCTGACGTTATCGCGCGCATGCAACGCGCAGAGGCTGTGGCGCTTTGGGCTCCGCTGGCTGTTCGTGCATACGCCTTGTGTTGATCGGGCGGGCAACGGCCATGAGCGTGCATGGGGCCGCACGCCTGCCTGCAGACAGGTGGCGCTTGCATATGGCACCCCTGCCGATGCCAATACGCACATTTGCACGTTCGGCCTGCCCCTGTACCCAATAATGGGTGTTTTATTGTCGCCAGTCACTTCGTGCACCAGCAGAGGTCATTGGCGAATTTGTTTGCAGGGTCGTTGCAAGATAGGTGTTGCAGAGGAGCGGTGCGATAGGGGGTGGCTGGATTGCTGCCTGCACACTGCATGTCCACGCGATTACGCTCTGGACATGTCCTGTTTCTACCTACCTGGAAGTATATAAGTCACCAATCTTTGGTCGCCTGGGACAGGCGTCAAGGACGCCTTCACCGCTTTTTGGCCACGACTGCAAATGCACAGCTGCCTTGTGCCTTCAAGTACCACACACGGACAATTCTTCCAGGTAGCACATTGATACAGTACTACGCCTGGATAGGTATTTCTGAAGCTTTTGTAATTGAGGCTAGTTGAGCAGCGAGCAGTTATAGTGTGAGCGGGTGGTGAGAGAATGTTATCATGGAAGCTGTGACAGCAGCAGCGGTTTCAACCTCTTCTGGTGCGAAGTCTCCAACCCATCAAGAGATTAAAAAACTGGAGGTTTTTGAGAATCTTGACAGCAAAACATACGATGTCGTGCTACCGGCTGGCACGCGCATATGCTCCGAGCTATGATGCGGAGGTAATCAGGCCTGCAATGCTCGTCGACACGGTCGGATGTCCTGTTTCTGGTTCCGCTCCAAACTGTGATTGTCTAACTCAACCTTATTGCATGTATCAACCGACACTATTGTTGAAGAGGCCCTTCCTCGCTGTAGCGCCCCCAACCCCTGGCGACCATTCTGCGGACTGAACCGAGCATACGAGAGCATTTGAGACATTATTAGCTGGCTATAAGCCTAAGTAAGCTTGAAGCGGTGAAAAATAGCTCTTGGCCGGGGCAGACCGCATGGCCACGACACAATCTGGGTCGACAATGCGCGTTCAGGTGGGTGCCTATGCATACTTGACACCAGATGAAATGCGCATAACACTGCGTAAGAGCTCACATCGGTACACAAGTGGAGTTCCAGCCGAGGCATGGCTCCCCTCAGCATTGCTTGTTAAGGGTGCAGCAGCACGCAGCCCCGTGCAGCCATCCCTGGCCCGGCCAAGACAACATGCTCAACGAGTGCACGCCTCCCTTCCCAAACCCTGCAGCAGCGCGCAGCGCAGGCCGCCCCGGCGGCGGTGCGCCAGCGGGCGCGGACGCCTGCCCCGCCCACCCTGACCCCTGCGCCGGCCCCTGCGACGGCCCCGACGGCCCCTCGTGTGGCGCTGCCGCGGCCGGGACTCCGTGATGCGTTCCCCACTGTGGAGGAGCTAGTCGGCCACACGCCCATCGTGCGCCTGCAGCACCTGCCAGGGAACACCACAAACATCGTCCTCGCGAAGCTGGAGGGCCACAACCCGGCCGGCTCGGCCAAAGACCGGCCGGCGCTGCACATGCTGAAGGAGGCGGAGAGGCGCGGCCAGATCAGACGCGGCGACACAATCATAGAGGCCACCAGCGGCAACACGGGCATCGCGCTGGCGATGGCGGCGGCGATCAGGGGTGAGCGGCGGCGGCGGGGGCAAGGAGGCGGGGAGAAACTTGGGGTGTACCAAGTTGGCGGGGCCGCCATTCGTTGGCGGCTGCTGCTGTGCGGCAGCAGCAGCATATGCAGGCGCAGGCTCCTGTGACGCAAGCTTTGACATCAAGCCACAACCTGACCTGATTATGGGTGGTGATGCGGTATGCAATGGCTGCTATTCATTAGCTCGGAGGCCTGGTTCAGATGGACAAGCAAATGCTGCCTGGGGTGGCCACCCACCTGCACGATGGTGCCTGGCCGTGTCCCTCTCCCCTCTGCGCTGACAATCAGCCTCAAATCTCAACACACTGCAGGCTACAAGCTGAAGCTCATCCTGCCCTCAAGCTCAAGCGCGGAGCGCATTGTGAGCGCAATCACAACGTTGCCTCCCTGGACCGGCCTTGCTTCATCATCTACTGCAATTGCGGCCCAAACTTGCAACCGACAGGCACTTTCCCACCATCAGTCGCCCACCTGCGGCTCAACCTGCATCTGGACTAGCACTTAAGACGGCGCGCACAACCACAAAACCCATAAAAAAAACCCTGCCTTCTCCCCTCCTAAACACACCCCCAAACCCCAGGCCACCATGACGGCCTATGGGGCCGAGGTGATCCTGGCGCCCAGCATGGAGGCGTCCAGGGACATGCTGGTGCAGATGGAGCGTGAGGGGCTGGGCCACTGCCTGGATCAATACAACAACGAGGACAACACCGCCTCACACTACATCGGCACGGGTGAGGCGCCGCGGCGGCGTCGTAATGGGATGCCACCGACCTGGTGTCGCAGGATTTCAGGGCCGGTTGCTCGTATGTGGGGGCGGAAAACTGACATGCGCACAAGAGCCAAGAATTGCTGCGCAGGATAGAGCCAAGAATTGCTGCGCTGTCAAGCCAGGCATGGCTGTTTGTTTCCAGAAGCGGCACGCCTCTCTGTGCTGGGGTGTTCGAGCGCATACCCCCTCACACACAAGCAGACACACGCATTTACACAAATTCACAAGCACGCAATCGCACTGTCCTCAACACATCTACGTTCAAACCGCCGCAAATTACCTGGTGTCCGCTTCAGGCCCTGAGATCTGGGCGCAGACCGGCGGCCGCGTGACGCACGTGGTCAGCAGTATGGGCACGTTTGGAACGATCATGGGGACTGGCAGGTACCTGAAAGAGAGAAACCCGGCAGTACAGGTGGTGGGCCTGCAGCCGTCTGAGCACGTCTCGATCCCAGGCATCCGCCGCTGGAGGTGCGCCGCGCGCACGCCGCCCGCCGCGTATCCTCGGACATGTGTCCGCCAACAAGCGACGCCAATCCCACGCGCTGCTGCGGCGAGCCCCGGCAGCGACACGAGGGCTGCGCACCAACACATGGCCTCTGTCTGTCGACCCCTCATGACATGACGCAAGCGCCGGCTGCTGCCCCGGCACCCGCCCCGCAGCCCCGGCTACGTGCCCAGCCTGTACAAGCCCGAGGGCATCGACCGCGTCCTCGACCTCACCGCCCGCGAGGCCGAGGAGACCGCCCGCTGCCTCGCGCGCGTCGAGGGCATCTTCGCCGGCATCTCCGGCGCCGGCGCGGTCAGCGCCGCGCTGCGGCTCAGCGCCGAGGTGGACGATGCCGTGATCGTCGCCGTGGTGTGCGACAGGGGAGACCGGTACCTCTCGACGGGCGTGTTCAACGCCGCCGCCGGCGCGGAGGACCCCGCGCCGTGCCACGCGGCCGAGTTCCACTCGGCGCTGGCGCGGCTGCTGCACGGCCACGCGGGGCCGCACTACGTGCTGTTCACCGCCGGCGCCGGCTGCGAGGGTGGCGAGGGGGAGGCGGCGGCCGCGGCCGCGCTCAAGGGGGTGCGGGGCGTGGTGGAGGCGGG